CTTTGGAGATTTAAGTGGGGAGAAAAAAATATTTTAAAATATTTGTTTTTTGTGTTTTCTTTATACTTGAGGGAGAATCCGATCATTGAAAAGTGCCAATTGTGCCACATTTCGACACATTGTTATGTTATATATTATATATATTATTTTATCTTTTGGTTTTAAATCACTGCATTAAGCCTATTTAAGCAAACTTAATCTTAATCTTTCATTTTATTTGACTGTCTCACTGAGGGATAATCTGGCTGTGTACATATTTCTTCTGATGTATCCTGAGTTTTGAGTTTTATTTGTGTGCGGTTGTGCTCGTCCACCTCGATCGACTCCCACTGTTCACAAACATTTAAACACAGATTGTCCAGTCCACAGTAACTGAGGGGCCCCGCGGGCTCTGACGTTGGCTTCAGGCTGCAGTCGTTTCTTCTTTGTTGCCATTTTCAAACATGATTTTAAATCTTTTCCCACTTGTTCATCGTGTTTCTAAATATGATAGTAATTTTATGAATGTGTATATTTTATGTTTGTGATTTATATTTTATCATACAATAAAGAACTGTTGAATCTTATTTGGTGCCCAGTTTGACTCCCTGATCAAAGCCTGAGCCGGCGGGAAAAGTGTGTGTGTATGTGTAGGTGTGTTTTGAGAAAAGATCTGTGAATGTGCGTCATCTCTTAAGAAGTATGTGTTGCATTATCGGCACTGACAGCGAACAGCACAATCTGGATGGTAGCTGTTGTTCACACAGTGAAAACAGCCAGGAGTCATGCAGCCCGTGATGCAGAGCTCATTACCACCGACAGTCAGATTTGTCCTGGTTGTACTATTTGTCCTCCATCACCACCGTGAGATACAAGACGCACAGCCAGCTGTTTTACCACTGAGTTAATGTAGATGATCTGCTTTTTTGTGAAGCTGGAAGGATGGTGGTTTTTTCTTTGTACAGGAAGAATTAACTTGTTTTTCAGCACTAAATTCGAAATAGCAATAAATATAAAAATACTGAGATATGAAATATGTATTGAGTCATTTACTTGCCTGTAAATAAATAAAAGGCTTTAGAATGGGCTTAATGTTATTTTGCATTTAAAATCTGAAATCATAATTTCTGATGCTGAATAACAGCAATAACTCAGTTGTTACTTCATTCGAATTATAATGTAAAGTAACTGATCTTCTGTTCACTGAATTGAAATCGTTAGCTTGTACAATCTAAAGTCAGTTTTTCCAACATTTATTTTCAAATCACTAGAAATTGCGGTTTACAGTTGAGTTTAAGGTGATTCTCACAGGGCTAACTCAGCCATGTTTTCAGTGTCACTGCTTTGTGCTCTGTTGAGAATCAACGTTAGACTATTTCCAAATATAGTGTGGGTTTTTTCATAGCAGGGACTCTCAGGGTCAGTTAACCTGACATTTCTATTGTGCATGTTTTGGGGGAACGGTCTGAGTTTGCTTGTATCACAGTGGACCAACAGAAGAGATAATACAGTTACACTGGGCCTCATTCATCTGCGTCACACACACACACAAGCCTTGGTAGAAAATGACCACATAAGGAAAACACACTGAGGCTGTGCAGAGGGGGGGGGACAACAAACGCTGCCACTTATCACTGCAGTTCTTTGTTTAATTAGATAAGAGTAACCTGACCCAAACTCCTTGTATGGAGACCTTTTTCAAACTTGCGTTTCTGTCGTCCTGAAACTTTACACACGTCAGATATTTTCAATCTTTAGACGAAGACAAAACACCAAACTGGAGCTGAAGGATTTCTGTAGAAAAACAAATCCTCAAATAAAATTTGCAGACCTTGTGTTCCCCCTTATCGGTTTGAATCTGTGGACCCTAAATGATTTACACACTTTTCTGTTGGCCCATTAAATGAAGACAGCAGAGAGTAAATGAGCTGACCATCTGTTGTTGCTGCTGCTCGTTGAAACATATAAAATAAATGTTATTAATGGTCAGGGGAGGTTCCCTGTCCAGGAGCGGAGGGATGAGAAAGATGAGGGATGATGAAAGAAAAGAAGAGATGTGAATAATGTAATGAAGAAAAAACTTATAGGCTCCTGAAGGGGTTTGGAGATAGAGGTTTTGTCTTTTGTTTTTCGGGACCTCAAGAAACAGAGAAACCAGAATCGGAAATAGGAGCTAGATTACTTTACGGATTTCAAATTTCTTTTTCAGATGTCCCGTGACACCTTTGAATGATTCAAAGCTGTTGTCTGTTTGCTTGAAGGTGAAACATGTGCTTTCCTTTTTAAGTTTAATCATGTCCTTAATGTGACATTTCATGCACTGATGTCCAGACATTTTCCTGAAATTTTCAAGTCAGTTGCTCTGGATATTTTACACAACTTTCCACGTCCCTCATAGAATGTTCACGTGAGAATACAACAGGAATGGTGAATCAGTGTTTAACACACAACTGAAACAAAACTGGAAGAAAGCTAGTATCTCAGTATGCCATACACGTAGAGGACGTTGACAAAGATGTCCGGTTTAAGAGGTAGAGGGCCAAGAATAGAGCCCTCGGGTACTCCATATTTATGTATGTATTTTGTGGCAAGGACACACTTATGATGCTATGCCTGAGATGCCTATCTAGTAATACCATGACCCTCTGTATCAAAAAATGTGCTTCTCATAAATAATCCGCCCACGTTCTTTGGGGGGTTTCTCCACACGTACTTGTTGCTGCAGTGCTCCCTGTTACTGTCATCATCAGAATTCAATGATTTGAATTGTTCTCTTCTTGTCCTGTTTCTCCAGCAGGTCTACATGTTCCCTCTCTCACAGGGTTATTGCCTTTTGTCAAGTCGGCCCACCTCCTCAGTGTTTGACTAAAAGTCTGATCAGTGGAGCAGAATAAATCTCCAGGTACATGTGAGATTCCCCTGGATTTTACATGAACCCTGCTCGTACCTTCCTGGTCCATGTTTGTCAGTAGGCTTCCTGTGACGAGCAGAGGTCGATTTGAAATCCCGCTCTGCCGATCAAATCTTCTTGTAACGACATGAAACGCTCCTGTGGTGTTTAAACTACACAGAATGATGACCGCCTCAACTCCCGTCGCTTCTATTTTCATGACAGCAGGCCGTACCCGTGGGATCCATCAACATGTGCAAGAAAACACACACACACACACATTAATGTATCCCTGTGCTTAGAACACAAAGAGCAGTCACTAAGTCAGTGAGTGAGTGAGTGAGTGAGGGAGGGAGCGAGCAAGTGGATGAGACAGGGTTGCGTTCTTAGCAGTTCCTGACTTCTTTTGTCTCACACACACGCGCACCCTTTCCTCAGCCCTCGTCTCTTTTATCATCAGAGACTGGCACTTTGTGTGTCTGTGTGTGAGGGAGACAGAAGGGGGAGGCAGTGTTTCTCCTTCACAGTGATGGTAAGACAGTGAAAGGGTTGGCTGGGTGCAGGCAGTGCGAGAGCATACTTTCATGATTCGAGGCCACATAGGTTACGTGTGGGCGGTTGTTTTTGAGAGAAGCGGAGCTTGAAGCGCGGGCCTCATTAAGTGGGAGGGTCACGGCGGCGACATCACCTTTCAAACATGCCTCTGTCTGTCCTCTAATGTTTTCAGACAGTGTGTCCTCGCGTGTTGCAGAGAAGGATACTCATCCTCTTCTTGTCCATTGAAGATAATAACAGGGAACAGAGTGAGGCGATGACCCTTTTTTCTTTAATTCCAAACAGCGTATTGTATAGAAAAAGCTGAGTGAACACTGTAAGACAGGACCGCAACGACAGACTGAGCCAAGACAAAGGATGTTCAATCCGAGCCCAGACTCACACAAATAAACAGAAATCTTAGCAGAATGTGTTTACAAGTCACTGAAAAAAGTATTAACTGTGTGCAAATGAACACAACTCTGGACGTTTGTTAGCACACACACACACACACACATGCACACACACAATCTCAGCCACACAGTTAATGGCTAATTGCTAATTGATCTGGCTCTTTTCCATCCCTTTAAATCTAACAGCTGACTGTTTCAGTCAATATCTCTCTCACACTCTCTCTGAATGAGAAAGCTGGCTGTTTGGGTACATGCGTGTTTGCACAGTTGTGTGTGTTAAAATTTCAACATTTATCTGCATTTTCAGCTTCCCGTCTGTCTCAGAGAGAAATTCGTCCCGTTGCATTTCTCTTTTACGTGATGCAACGGTTCCTGTTTGCAGGCATTGAGAAACAGTAAGTGAAAAACTGATAAACACAAAGAGGTGGAGAAATCTGCTGGTAAACAAAGTCAGCTAGTGAACCATGTCCAGAGTTACATCTACACTCATTACCCTTGGTAGCCGGGATATCTCCTTCGATCTGTGCATGTATGTTTGAGAGAGAGTTAAGATGCCAGCTCATTAAAGTAAAACAATGTAAAGAGTTACGATTGTGTTAAGCACCAACTACAATTCAATTGCTCTCAAGTGCTTCAGCTCGAGACAAATGAATGTTTGTTTCCTGAGCTGGTCAATAAAACACATCAATCTGTACCGACACTAATAAGCAGTAAATTAGTTCTCAACCTTTCATCTAAATGTCCTCACAATAAAGCACTGCCTGTTGCACTGCAGAGAATTCATGATTTTAAAGCAGGGTCGAGTTTCAGATCAGTTCTGAAAGTGAAGGAAGAGAAAAGTACCCATCTACTAATATGAAAATAATTGAGAAACAGTATAATTCAATAAATGTAGATGTTATTTACATATTAAAACTAGAATATGACAGTCAGTAGACCTCTGCCAAGGCCTAATAATTGTTTTTAAAAACAATCAGCGCCAAGTTGCACATTTTCACGGATAAAAATATATATACAAATAAAAAAACCTCCTAGATCTGCCCCAGAATTGAATGGGTTCTTTCTTGGCCCATATTTCATCTTTCCACCAAGTTTCATGGAAATCCATTCAGTGGTCTTTGCATGATCCTGCTCACAAACAAACAAACGGACAGAGTTGAAAATATAAGTTCCTTGGCAGATATAATTTATATAAGTGAAGTAAAGTGCATTTTTCCAGTGTGTTTCATTTGATTCACATTTTCCGCTGACGACAAATGAATAAATCACCATTGAAGATAAATAAAAACAGAGCCTTCATGTCAGTTTTGTTAAATACATGATTTATGTGCACAATCTGAGTTGAAAAACTAAGATTTATCATTCTGAGTGACAGTACAGTAGCTGCCGAAGGCATCAGAGTATTCTACACTTCACAGCAGGCTTTACTCAAAGTGCTCCTCTCTACTTGAGGTTGTCAGTGACTGCTGGATTCTCTGTGTGTTACAAAGCCTCCACTATCTCTGAGTATCAACAAAACTGATTATGTTTCTTCTACAGTGTGGTATGATTACAATGTGTGGATCATTGTTCACAGTGTGTGTGTAAATGGTCGATGGAAGTGTGCTATGATTCAAAAGGAGAGAGCGAACAAAAAAAGATTTGGCTGGTTGAGCCCAGACCAATGTAGCCATCATAGCAGTCACACTGTTTGCTCCGTACTCATCATGTTCATTTATTTCTTCCAAAATTAAAATGTTTGTCTCAGTCATCTGAAGGCACAAGTAAAAGACCTGGCAGCAGGCCTCATCAGACACAGTGCAGCACAGAGATTCAGTCTGCTGCAGAAGAACAACCCACACTGTTGCATGACTTCAGCTGGATTGAAGACTACTATGATGGCTACCTTGATAGTGACGGATCAATAATACTTCATTGAGTGATTATGGCACCATTTGATTCAAGATGAATGTTGAGAATTACTACAGTTATTCATGGCAGATATTTACTTGAGGGGCAGTAGATGACGGCTGTTTATCGGTTAGCCAGGTCAACTTGATCAGACATTCAAAGAGAAACATTGGAAGGATAACAGTTCATACAAGATGTTTACCAATAGTTGAAGAGTCCACTTGGAAATAGAGACGAAGAGCATCATCTTGTCTGATCAGACAAGGAAGAGATCAACATTTTTGGAAATCCACATATGTGCTTTCTTGCTCTGATTTAGATGAAATGATACCAGGATTGTAAACTGGACTATTTGATGTTTCCAAAGCTAAGAATAAACTCTCACAAAGATTGTCTTTTGTTCTGTTTTTGATTCATCTGTTTACAGGTTAGCCGTGTATGTATGTTATGCTGGCACTAGCACAGTGCACATTAAAGAATCTATGAAATCTGAAACAATTTGGTCAAAATGTTTACCTATTTAATCTGAACGTTACCTAATTATTTTGTGAAAGCTAAATTAAGAATAAATGAATCATATGCATTGTTATATAAACCTCCATGTAAATTTGATATTAATCGTGGAAAATGAAACAAAGTAAATGCCATCTGGTTCCTCTGTGTTGAGGACAAATTGCCATAGCAGGCTATTATTGAACGCAGCCTTTTTTAAATATGAGCTGTTTTTCGAGTGATAAATGGGACAATGAATTTAAATGTGACAAAAGAAAAAGAATATTTAATTAAATTCCACTTCATTTTACTGAAACCAATTCTTTTTTTATATTTGAAGTTATTATGGCTGACATCACTGTCAAATCAGTCAAACTCTGAAATACCACCAGATGGTCGCTGTATGCGGCCTGTTAAATGTAAACTGAGACTATTTGAATTTGAGTCTGCCGTCACATTGTGGGAATCTGTGGCGCCGAGTGTGGCTCCCGGTTTCAATGATGAATACTGACACCACTAACAAGACATCTCAGGGGACGACAAAAAAGACAAACGCATGACAAATGTTTTTCCACAGTGTGCCAAAGTGTTTGTGGAAGAAAAATTACAAGTGGAATTCAGAATGTCCTTTCAGAGCTAATGGGGAATAAATTATATAAATGGTAAATGGAAGGCAGTTTGCCATTACAATGTGACTGAATTAAGAGTGAACTCATCTCAAACCCTGCTGTCTTTCCGATCCTGGACGTGACAGTAATGCCCAATCTGCTCCTTCCGGTGTGTCCCTCTGTCTGTGTTTCATCTTTTTCGCTACTGTGGTTCTTCAGTCCATGCAGCCCTTAAAGGGAGGATTTGTCAAAAACAAAAAACGTCCATTTCACTCAAAGCAAAACCAATTTGTATTGGTTTCTCCAGTGTTTTTTAACTTTAGAGTTGGAGACCCAAGAAAGGTTGATTTCCAGAAAGAAGCTACATTCACTCAGCTTGGGTCCCCCGGCTTAAGGAGTTCAACTTTGTGTGCTGCATGCAGGATGCAGACAGGTGGAGAAACAAGGTGGATTTTTTCATTTTTTTGAAGAAGGTTGAAATGTCCCTTTAGAGAGGCTGTCAGGCCACCAGACCCAGGCGGGCGATCTTAGCAGAGAGGAAGGAGTGGAGGATGAAGACGATTGGCTTTGGACACGAATGGAGGTCCAGTTGCTGCAGGAAGAAGGGAACAACAGAATTAAAAAGTAGATCAAGAGGAATAATGCAAAACATGACAGAGATGAAAAAGAGGAGAAGAGAGTTTGTAAAGCTCATAAAGCCATAAATGTATGTTCAAGACTAACTCCACAGTCAACAGTTCTCCATGAGGCAGGGATAAGTCAGTCCGACTTCTACACTGTACTGTGCAGTGTAAACACACAAACGCCACGTCACCATGAATAAGGCTCTGCTCATAGCCTGAATCAACAGTGGGTGGTTTCAACAGTATTATGACTCACATCCTGTTCCTAAGGGCTATATGGAGATTTAACCTATAAATTCAACACAAATAACTGTTAAATTCCTCTGATTTAACACTGAGCACCTTTTTAGAGGTTACCTCATCTCCAGGAAACCCAGCACCGAGAAATATTATAAAACAAGCACGACATTGGTCCACAAAAATTCTGAAAGTCTGGATTTTCAGAAGTTGAGATACATAAAGCTATGCTGGCAGCTTGGCTCTGTAGGGATGGCAACTTTAGTGAGTCAGTCCATCACTCAGATCCAGTCTGAAATATCCCAGAGTTATTGGATAGATTGCCATGACTCTTTGTGCAGACATGTCTGGTGCCAATTGAATCCCAACAGCTTTAGTAATCCCCAGACCTTTCATTAAGCGCCACCAGCAGTTCAGTGTTTATGGTTTTCAGCAGTGGGGGAGTTTCAGGGGGATGAGCGGTGATATGCCAACCCCTTAAAACCAACATTACAAACACCCATCCCCATTTTCTGCCTGAGAAAGTGTGCTGCATGTGCATGATAGAGTGTAAGTGTGAGCAGGTGAACATCTTATAGCAAATGCTGCTAACTAAATGTATTTAAGAGTTAGAACCAATTGGCATCAAGAATAACAGTAGGTCAAGAAGAAATTATGTCTGTCTGTATCTGTCAAAACATTCATAAAGATTTTACCATCTTCAGCATAGCCGTGGTAGATACTGTTTTAACTATGCACATTCATGCATGGAAAAATGTTTTTGAGTGAAGACTAAACACACCCTGGGGCCCTTAGTCTTGTTGTTGTCTTTTTGATCAACCGGAGCTGAATTGTGTGAAATTGCTGTGTGAAAGTAATGACAGGATAGTCAACACTGAAGAAGAGCTAAAACTACTGCCCTGCGTTTCTATGCCTCCGCTAACAAAAACATGTTTTGTGAGGCCACCGTGACCTTGACTTTTGGCCACCAAATTCTAATCAGGTCATCCTCCAGTCCAAGTGAATGTTTGTACCAGATGTAATGAAATTCCCTATGGGTGTTCCTGATATATCACGTTCACAAGAACATGAGGTCACCGTGACCTTGACCATGAAAAACAAATACATTAATCTTTTAGTCCGAGGGAATGTTTGTACTGCATTTGAAGATATTACCTCAAGGGGCTGTGTTCACAAAGCAAAACTGTATCTGCCACAATTGAGGATCAAGTGGTCTTATAACATTTTAAATGGTACTTGTCATGTTGTCAATATGTGTTTTTGTGACCGTGTGCCTTTACTATTAATGTTATCGTGATTGTTTCCATCATGTTCCATCCACAAGTGTCTCGGGACTTTATAAAGCATCATCTGTGACTGTGCTGAGACTCAGAAACGCTACAGATGGTAAAAACTGTTCTGATAAGGTAGCCAACAGAGGGTTTTTAATCAAAGCTCGCATGTCGTTGCTTATTTGCCTTCAGCAAATACTGAGCAGTCTGACATGAATAGAGGAATTTTAGAGAAGTCTGACACAGAGCTATATGGAGACTGTCATACAGACAGATCGGGGCCTTGATACAAAACACCTCAGTTTCCAGTTTCTAAATCCCAATCCCATAAGCCTGGAGAATAAATATTTTAGTTTTCACTTGAGTTTCCAGCATACAGCAAATCACAGTGCTGTGGCTTTGTGAATGATGAAACATCAGTGATGTTTTTCTGTGTAAAAACAGTTTGTATTAGTGCCAGGGGAGAGTAATACAAGAGCTGCAACAGTTCAATCTCCTGTCTGTCACCCACGTTAATATTCATATCAGCATTAGATCCAGGAGGCTGAGAAGTGGAATTCTTACAGCGATGAGGAACACATTGGGTGGTGGGAGTGTTTGTGTTTGGTTGTTTTCAGGTATAAACATTAAATTGGTCTTGATTACTTTAAGTGAGGCCCCTGAAACAAGAGCCACCTGAACTTCCACGCATTGAGCTGTAAAAAGATTAAACCCCTCACAGTAAGTGACAGGTTATTTTCAAAAGAAAATTCCACTGTTGGACGCTCTAACCTCGGAGGACCTGTGTTTGTGTGATTCTTTTTAGTACATGAGTTATTTTGTGATAAAGTGCCGTAATTTACTTTCTGCTGTAGCACTCTCCCTCCGCCTGTCTTCTATACTTGTACTTGTGTTTCGCTTCATTTCCCAGAAGGCTTTTCTCAACCCCCTGAGAGTGGATATGAACTTGTTGTTGTACACGTCCACAGCCAAGTAGGCTCTATATTGTTTGTTTTATTTCCCATCATCACAACTTGTTATTCAAAACTTTGAAAGCTCAGTTAATAGTATATTTCTAACAGCTGAAGGAAAACCATTTTAACTCACTTTAACTTGAAATGAAATGAAAACGACTGTCACTATACTTGACTGTTAAACAACTGATTGTACAAATAACATGTCAGTCCTGTGCCACATTTGCAAAACACAAAATTATATTCTGGTGCTATTGCGGCAAAACTGGCATTTGTGATAATGTAGAAAGTTATTTCTACTACTCACATTTCTTATATTGTAGCTGTCATAATTCTGACCATGAGTTGCCATCACGACCAAATGGGACCTCTCTGTTTGTGTGGCATCTCCAACTGTGGGTCTTCATCTGCCCAGTGAAAGAAAGAACGGGAGCCAGTGGGTGCATCTGTCCTCCAAACATTTCTTGGCTTAGGAGGGATCTGTATTTTGGGAGCCTGATGATACATTAAATTGATCAATTATACAATACAATATATTAACATTACATGAGGACAATCATGTCAAATCCAGCGATATATATTTATTTTTTTAGGTACCTCACAGTCAAATTTGGATGAATCTGCCAGGTCGAGCTTTGACAGTGCAATTTTTACCCTTGCCCTTCCTCTGCATCTTGGAAAAAATGTGAATATCAAAAGTCATTGCCTCGTAACAAAATTTCAGTTCAGAAATGTTGGTCGAAATGATGTATCAAAATCAAACATAAATAAGATTTAAATATAGTATTAAATACCTTATGATGGTACTATATTGCTTGGACAACAGAGAAGACGATGTGGGAAGCCGAATAAAATTCACCTGACCTGATGCAGTTATTCTTCCCACTCTTCCAAAAAAATCACTGCGATTTACATCTGGTCGAAATAAACACTTAATTTACAGAGTTAGATGTGAAAATAGAGCTAAATGCGTTTTTTCCATACTGCCCACCTATGTCTGGCCTTGGTGAGCTAACACTAAATTGCGTCATATTAGCTAAGCTGCTCTCACTCATTCATTTAATGAGCAACATAAAATGACAAGAATACCTCAGGAATGAAGATAAGCAGGAGAAGACACAAGACAAGCCAGCAACAATATTTCCACATTTGTGATGAAAGAAACCAGCACATTATCAACATTTAACAGCAACAGGTAACAGCAGCTAACTCCTACTGTAAATTTACCGTAGTTTCATTTCAAGCTTATCACAATAATTTACCTCCGATGAAGGTCAGAGAAGAAGAGCCAAGTTGAAGTACAGTATTTAAATCAAAGTCAAAAAGACAACAGCCAATCAGAGTTCTCCTGTCAAAGAAGTCTAATCAGATTCGTCCTGTTGTCCATTTTACCCCAGCAAGAGTGGATTTATTGGTGGAATGTTGCTGGCAATCAAAATCAACTTTAATTTCAAATCAAAGCATCTGGTTGCTGTAGAGGATTGAAACACCTACTGATGAGGCAAGTTTTACAAGTGCTTTATTTCAGTAAATATTTTTTCATTCTAATTAATGTCATTATTTTGATGACTACAATTGATTTACATTTAGTAATTTGGTGAAGACTCATGTTTTAGACTTGGTTGTGTATGTGTGTCTCTGTAAAAGTCCCCACAAAGTGTGTGTAAAATAACCCTTTATTGATCCCTCAAAAGGAATATTTGCCAATAAAAACAGTCAAGCCTTACGCTGGTTTCAATCCCCCCACCTCACACATACAGGGTGTGTACGCTACGTTTGGTTTAATAAGAAGAGTGAGAAAAGGGAAAGAAAGATAGATAAAAATCTTATGACATTTGATTTAGATTTGATAAAAAACACTGAGATAAACTAGACAGAGTCGAGCTGCCAATCCTAGACGTCAGCAGAGACTGCTGGCAAGTTTATGTTTGCTCCACTAAAGAAATAAAAGATGCTGAGGAGCAAATGGTTTGTCCCTGGCTGTAGTGGGAAAACCCCAGTGGCATCGTCAATTGCTTTAATGGAGCCCAACATGGGGTTCAACACAGCTAGAGACACTGACCTGCAGGGTGAGATGGCACTGTTTCAAGTGGCGTAGGAGTACGTGGCCATGTGCGGGAAGCAGGCAGCAAAGAGCAGACTGGAGCAGCTGGATGCTTTCCAGAGGCAGTTAAATATGCAATCACATTCTTATTTATTTATATACAGGCAAAATTCATATTCCAAATTCAATTCAATTCAATTTTATTTGTATAGCGCCAAATAATAATATACATTATCTCAAGGCACTTTACATAGAAGGTCAGGACCTTAAAATCAAAATATAAAGAAACCCAACAGTTCCCACAATGAGCAAGCAGTTTGGCGACTGTGGAAAGGAAAAACTCCCTCAATTCACTGATATATGTTTTTAGAAAACAATTTCGCTATGTAGGTTTGGCAGGATTATGCAAAAACTAACGAGTACCCCTCCCTGCAGTGTGCAATTCAGGGCGGTGCTCATCATCG